TACAACTAAACATGCCCGTTAGACCTCTTTAGCCACAAACTTTTCTAGTAAACTTAATTTCCTTAATCAAACTTAAATAACTGGAATAAAAATTCAAGGATGTTACATCTTTACTTAGACTTTCCTCTATTAGGATGACTTGGTTTGGAATAACTTGGTGACATGGTATGATACCTTGATTGTTTCTACATATATTTCCATCTAGGACTTAATTCCCAAGTAAGATGCTATCTTGGATGTCACCTAGGATAACAATGTGGATGTTGACTAGGTTGCCATACATAATCACATCGTTCTCCTCCTCTTGAAGAAGATTCATCCTTAACTCTTGAAGATCTTCAAACGGTGAGCTTGTATACTTATTATCAACTTACATAATTGAATTATTAAATTCCTGTGATGGAGAATCAACATAACTAAAAAAAGAATGATTAAGAATGTTAGTGGATAAAACTTTCTTAACCTCTTCCTCTTGATCTTTTTCAACTTTTGGCTCCTTTTCTTTATTTTTTCTCTCCTCTTTTCCATCATCTTATTTTTCTCTCTCTTACTTATATGTACTCCCTTAAATATTTCTACTCAAGTCACTATCACTCATATGTTGACCTTTCTTGTCATATTTGAGGAGATTTTCCTTAACCTTAAGTATGGTATTTAGAATAAGAGGGAATTCATCTACACATTATTTTCATGATTTTCAACATTAAACTATTCTTTCTCCTTTGTTGATTCAACTTCTAGCTTATTATCAATGATAATAGCCATGGATTCTATCTCCTTTGAATTGGAGCTAGTTTTTGAACTCCTCTTTTTCTTGAGTTCTTTCTTTAATCTACTTGGAACTGCACCTATAGAGAACATATTGAAACTAAAGTTTCACTAGTTGATACACCTTCTAGGTTAGATGCATCACTTAAATAAAACCATGCCTTTATATTCATCTTCACAGCTTGTATGCTCAGTATAATATTCCCCATCATCACTATCACATTTAAACTTTGATTTGTCTTTAGCTTTAGGCATAGACTTAACTTCTTCTTAAGCCTTAAAATCCTTTAGCTTAGAGGTTGATTTTTAAGTCCCCCTGATTAGAAGTTGGAGGTTTTGAGCATTTTTCCTAAAACCTTTTCTCAATTTTATTGGCCTTGTGCACAAACTCTTCCTCATCTATAAAAGTGTAAATGTACATATTCAATTTTGTCTCTAATTTTTTGACTAAGCCCATTAATAATTTAGGTCTTAGAAGCTTTGTAATCTTCATATACTTTAGGTCTCATCTTAAGTTCATCAAGCTCATGTACATACTCTTTCATGATCAGCTAAACAACTGCACCCTTCTTTTTAATTCCCTAGAGTAGTAGTCAAGCACATACTTGTTTTGCATGTACTTCTTAAACCTTTTCCAAGACTTCGGAGGCTCTTTATCAATGATTCAGCACTTCAACAATAAATCTTTCCACCTTATTAGTGCATAATTAGAAAATTGATAGGTTGTGATTTTTACCTCCTTTTTGCTTGGCATATCATTGGATTGAAAGATTTGCTCCATTTTAAATTCCCAATTAAGATAGATTTTTGAATTTGGACTATCACTGAATGGTGGATATTTAACCTTTTGGTTGAAAAGATCAAATTTAGATTGAGATTCCCTCCTCCTAGAATGAATTTCTTCTTTACTATAACTACTATGTTTATCTCCTTAGGAAGCTTTCAGTCCTCTAAGTTCTCTTTCAAGTTGAATAAGATTTTCATAAAGAGTCTTAGCATGATCAACTTTAAGTTTTGGGAAGAGTATTCCTTTTGAGCAAAAATACTCACCCATGATATATCTAAAAGGTTAGTATAGCAAAATAACAAAATTTGGACCTCACACACTTACTCATGTATTTCACTTAATAAAATATCACTCATATTTATCACTTTGCTAGTGTGTAGTTAAACACTCTTTACTCAAATTTGATTTAGCAAATTCTAACGACAATGCGAGATAACAGTGATGGTGAAACCAACGTTAAGTTACAAAGGAAGTGTAAAGATAAGATATGATAAGTTAGGTGAGATAAAATAATATTAGATGGGATATGATATTATAAAATAAGTTAGATAGGAGATGATATGATAAAATAGGATGAGTTTAATTAAAAAAGGATAAGATGAGATAATAGAAGATACGGTAAATAAGATATGATAAGATTCACCAAATTAAATATATATATATATATATATGTATCAACTCTATATATACATCGACCCTCTTTTATTAGATTGAATCTTCGCTCTCTCTCTCTCTCTCTCTCTCTCTCTATCTGTTTCACCTTTTGTTGCACGATTTTTTTCTTTTGTTTTTTCTATAACAATCCTGGCTTTTTCCTTTGGAGCACATTACCTTTTGTTTCAATTTGAATATGTAAGGGAAATAGATACAGAAATCAATAATAAATCAAAAGATTTTTTTTATTTTTTATAATAAAAGAATGGATGGAAAAAATATAAATAGATGGAAAAATAAAAGAAAGGATGAATGAATAAGAAAGATGAATATAATAAATAATAAAGAACACAATGAAAATGAATGATATATAGAAGTAAGGATGAACGAATAAAAAAGATAAATATGTTAAATAATGAAGAATGAAACAGAAGAACATGATGGAAGGACACAGCCTGAAAAAGCAACCATGGCTCTGAATACCAAATGATACGGGGCACCAAATGATAAGTCACAATAACTCGAAATCCCACAATGCTTTATCTCATGAAGAACAACATTAATCAAAATAGCCTCACAATTAAAAGAAAATTCAATAAGTCTTCCTAAAATACAAAGGGCTGAATTGGTTAAATAGACTTCTAAAAACCTAAATAATGCAATTCTAGTTAATCCTAAGGATAGCTCACAATAATTCAAAATCCCATGGTCCGTTATCTCATGAAGAACAACACTAATTGAAATAGCCTCACAATTGAAAAAAAATTCAATTATAATTCAATAAGTCTTCTTAAAATACAAAAGGATGAATTAGTTAAGTAGACTTTTAAAAATCTAAGTGATGCAATCCTAATTAATCTAGGATTCTAAATGGATAGATCATATCCTAATGGATATATTTTTTCCTTATTTGAATTTAAAATAAAATAAACTATTTTTCCTAAACTTAAATTGAAATTAAAATAGGATAAACTAATGTTTTTAAATTTAAGAAAACAATAATAACTAAACCAATGCCTTGCAATGAATCAAAGGTATTATATGTTAGATTTTGACCGTCCCTTGATTCCCATCATAACATTTGATTAAATTGTTAATCTAAGAATTATTTTGCCAGTAGGGTTGGTTCTAGCAAAAGAAGCTAGTCCCTCACATCATGGCGAACCAAAGTTTAAATTTTTACTAGGAGAGGTGTCCATTTTTAGTGCCCGATAGAGTTTCAAACAGGATTATCTTTCATAGGAGGATACTGTAAGTAATAAAAAAAATAATTATTTCAATGTGCGTAACTTAATTTATGATTTAATGGAGGAAAATTTAATTTAAAATTTGATTACCTTAAAGTTTAAAACCCTCCTGTGGGATTTAGAGGATTATATTGAAAACAGGAAAAGGATTAAAGCAATAAATCAATATTTACAATGAAAGACACAAATAAACTAGAATTCAACCTAAAAGGCAATTAAAAGCCCAAAATTATCGTGCAGTACTTTGATAACTTTCTAATTGAAATTCGTTTATATATTTTCACAACTTCCAAATTAATGGCTGACGCCTTAAGAAATCCAGACAAAGTTTTGTTGTATTTGTAGTCGAAGCATCTACCTCCAAAATAATTTTATTATTTTTTAAACATATTTTTTTTCAATTCCAAAGTGCTCCTTTGTATGTATACGCACACACACTCATGACTTGAGAAAGTAGCATGCTCTCCGTTTTACGACACTGAATGATCAAGTCTGAATTAGCTTCAGGCCACTATATTTCTTTTAGTGTGCTGTTTCCATTCCCCTGCTTTTATAATATCCTTTTCTGTTTTTCTTTTTTCCATTTTTTTCAGATTTAAATATAAGTCACCAATATCTGTTTAACACATTAAAGAAACTGGTTAAAGATAGTATAATTAATTAAAATTTCCACCATTATTTTCCCGAGAAGCTTGCCTCGTAAGAATCTTCCAAGAAAGAATAGACATGTTACTGTGGATGGCCAACCATATTTGAAAAACGCGTGCTTTTTATATTCATTGCAACAACCCTCTTTTGTCTCTTTTGAGAAACCTATGGCATTCACGTAATTATATCTCTCTTCCTCGATGTTTCCCAGCACATTCCGAGGCACAAAGATGTCCAAAAGTCATTTATCCTCCTTTTTTAAGTGTTCTCTCCATCAATCTAAGCCAGCTTCACTCTATTTCTTCCTATTAAACTCTCTTCTCTCTCAATCACTTTGAGTTCTGAAACAAAACAAGGCATGGCTGCGGCAGCTGCTGGACAAGCTTTGCTCTCCGCTTCTGCGCAGACCTTAGTGGATAGGATCACCTCAAGTGAGTTTGGAGATTTGATGAACGACACAAAGCTGAATGTCTCTCCCATAGGCAAGTTGAAGATTACTCTGTTGATGATCGAAGCTGTCCTCAATGATGCAGAGCAGAAGATGATCACCAATCATGCAACCAAGGAGTGGCTTGAAGAGTTGAAAGATGCTGTCTATGAAGCTGAGGATTTACTTGTAAAACTTCAAAAATTAAAATTAAGTAAAATTTAAAATATAATAATGTATTTTAATTGTATTTATATTAAAAAAAAAATTGATCTAGTGGGAGTTGCATTGATGAGCTACCTAAGTCAGGTCATGTGTTTGATTTTTTTTGTTCAAGCAAAAAGAAAGATATTTATTTTGGGCTCAGCTTTGTGAAATTATCATTTTGCCGTCAAAACAATTAGAGTTTTTATATATATATATATTATATATATATATTTCTTCTTCTCTTCCCGAAGGAATTCTGGCGAAGGTCATTAACTGAGAGAGGGAGAGGTGTCTCAGAGCCAGAACCTTCGCTCGGTCTTCTCCTCATCCCTTCTCTGTCGTCAGCTCATCGCCGGTGTAGGAGTGCTAGAGTTTCGTTCGATGTTGCCATGGAGTTCGCGTCGCATCCTCTTCCTCAGTTCTGCACCAACTTCCCTTTCCTCTCCTTCTACAGCGTCGTCCTTTCTCCTTCATTCAGCTGGCAGCCACCGGTGACTGTACCTTTCTATCATTCTCGTTGGAGTTTTGCTCGCGCGACCTTCTCCTTCATGTTCTGTCTGAGTAGCGGGTTGGATTTATCAGAAATCTCCCTCCCCTGTTCTGTCTATTCCTGAGGCGTCCTTTCGCAATCTCTTCCTCGACCACTCCTCCCTCTTCTGTTCTTGCTTTCGTGATGGTGTGTCCAGCTTCTTCTTGCCTCTGCCGCTGTTGATTGAGGACCATTACTATGAGAATCTGTGTTGTTGAAGTCAGAGCTTTGAGATCGCTGTTTCCCCTGCTTCACGTTGGTCCTTCTTTCTTTCTCCTTTCGCACAGCAGCAACGTTCAGCTCTTCCCCCTGGTTTTACGGTCGCTAGCACGCTCATGTAGTCAAGGGGAAAGCTTTGATCTTCTCCCTCTCCTCTGTATACATAGCTGGTTTGTATCAGTGTGAGATTTGAGTTTTGCTTCTTTTCTCAATGCTGGATTATTCCTCTCTCTGGTTCAGCGTCTCTGGCTTTACTGGTGAGTGAATCTCACTCTCATCCTTCCCCTGTCTAGGTTGTGCATGCGTGTGTGCTGATTGAGTTATGGAATTTGCTCATAATGGGAATTTGCTTCTGTTGGAATAAGAAGGTTTTGGACATTGAAATTTTTTAAATATTGATGATATATAATTAGGAAGAGATTTGAAGAGGAAAAAACTTTGTATTATGGTTTAAACATAGATGCATATAAGGTGTTTGCAAAAATGTTTAAAAGAGGAATTTGATTGAAATGGAGTACATTAAGTATATTTATTATATTAATGACTGAAATTTTGGAATTAGATTGTTTAAATTCCATGTTGAAAACTTAGGAAGGTATTAGTCAAGTGTGTGTACGTGTATCTTCATTTTGGTGGAATGCTTAGGTCATTGGTCATGCCTAAATAATAATAATAATAATAAATAAAAATAAAATAAAAATAAAAATAATAATAATAATAATCTAGTGAGTTATTAATGTGTAACCTCTAATAATTTAAGGAGTTGAGGTTGATGAAAATCTCTTAGCGATATACGAAGTAGAGTTATCATTAAAGAAAGTTGCTTGTTCTTCTTGTCTAGGTAATAGAGTATCTAAAAAGCCATTGTGAGTTGCATATAAGGGATAAATTATTATCTTGGAAGCTTATCAGGTAAGTGAATAGCGTCCCAACTAATTTATGATTAATTTTTTTAAAAAATATTTTTACTTGGATCATTTAATAACAATTATATTACATATTTCATATTTTGTTATTTAAATTATTTTTATCTTGGGAAAATTATAAAGGGATGTGGAAAGATATTTGAATTATGACGTGTATGTGTTTTTCCTTACAAATGATACTTTCAAAATTGATAGAATTATTTTTATCAATTTTGGTAATTTTGGTTCTCAATAAATGAAAGCATGGGCATCATTTATGAAGTTTTATTCTGGCAAGTTTCTAATGTTCAAAATTCTTCATGCGAGTTTGATTTTGAGAATGGAAACTGTATTTTATTGATGATGATTTTTTCGCATGTTTGAAAATGAATTTGGAAGGGATTTTATACGAAACACTAGTTGCTAACGGCAATTTCGTTAGCCCTTGACGTGCCATGGTACACCTAGCTAGCAGGGTGTGTATAGGAGGTGCTAGCCCCGTGCGATGGCCAACGCACGTGGAACGAAGGGATGGTTATTCGTGAGCATCGCACTCACGTTTGTTTTGTGGCTTCGGCTGCGTTTGGTTACATACCCTCGTGGACTGTGTGTCCACGTTTGTTTCGTGGCTTCGGCTGCGTTTGGTTACTTAACCTCGTGGACTACGTGTCCACGTTTTTTTTTGTGGCATAAGCCGCGTTTGGTTATTTACTCTCGTGGGCTGTGGGTCCACATTTGTGAACTGTTCTGATAAATCCCTTAAAGAAATAATAATATGTAAATTTTTAATTAATTAATGATTTTATACTTAATGGTTTTTAAATTTAGTTAGTACTGTTATTTTATTTATTTATTTAATCATTTTAACTTGTCAAATTCAACTGTTAAAGCTACTTTGTCATTATAGATTTAAACGTTCTTGTCATTGAAGTTCTATAGAACTTTTATTCCAAGTTTACAAATTGTTTACATTGAATTGCTTTCTTATTTAATTTATATAATCATTGTATTTTATCCACTTTGATTCTACAAAATGTTATGGTTGGGATGTTATTCACTGAAAAATTATTTTGGTCTCAGATAGCATAATTGACGCTGTATGTCTTGCTTACAAAGGATAGGTGTTTGCGGAACAGAATGGAGGCTTGTTCTGTAAATATGTCTTATGGATGTAAAGGTAAAATTTATGTATTATGTCATGAGATATATGTTTAAGTGCTTCACATAACTTATAATTAGAGTCCATAGTTTATTATACATTTTGTGATATAGTGTTGAAATAATGTTTAAGGAAAATTTTGTAGAAAGATTTTATTTACAGAAGAGGTTCTATCAAAATTTTTACAAAATGTTAAAATAATTATTATAATGAGTAGTGTCAATAGTATTAAAATGTCAGTGTAAAATTGAATACATTTTAATTAAATAAAATAAACCTTGAATTTTGTGGCTTACAGGATGTATGATGTGGTTCACTTCCTGTGCCGATCACCCCTATTTTTAGGGTGTGACATTACTTGATGAGATCAACACTGAGTCTCTCAAATCCAAGATTGAAAAAGATTCTCAAAACGTCGCTAACAAGGTGCGATCCTCCTTGGTTTGCAAAGTGTTAGCGTGAGAGTGCATAAAACACCTTCAACTTCATTGGGAAATGAATCTAATGTGGTTGGTAGGGAGGATGATAAGGAGAAGCTAATGAAAATGCTTCTGTGTGATGAAGATCCAAAGGGTAATGACATAGGAGTGATCACTATCTGGGGAATGGGAGGGTTGGCTAAAACAACCCTTGCTCAGCTCCTTTACAATGATGAGAAGGTGCCTGGGCATTTCGATTTGAAGGCATGGGCATGTGTTTTGGATGATTTTACTGTTTTAGAGGTGACAAAGAATCTTCTTGAGTCCGTCACTTCAAAAGTCCATGATAGTAAAAATCTAGACTTCCTTCGTGTTGAACTAAGAAATAACTTGAGCAATAAAAAGTTTTTAATTGTGTTGGATGATCTGTGGAATGAGAAATATAGTCATTGGGATGACCTTATAACCCCTTTTCACAGTGGAAGAAGGGGAAGCAGAATCATCGTAACAACTCATCAAAAAAGAGTTGTTGAAATCACACATACCTTTCTTGTACTTGAGTTGCGTTGTCTCTCGAATGATAATTGTTGTCTTTTACTCTCCAAGCATGCATTTGCAAATGAAGATCCAAACAAATATCCAAAGCTAAGAGCAATCGGTAAGCAAATTGTAAGAAAATGTGGTGGCCTCCCAATTGCTGTTAAAACCATTGGAGGTCTTTTGCGTTCAAAAGTGGATGAAAAGGAATGGAATAAAATTCTAAATAGCAACCAGTGGGACATACCAAATGATGATGTTATGCCTGCTTTGCGTCTGAGTTATCTATATCTACCATCACATTTGAAGAAATGCTTTGCTTATTGCTCAATCTTCCCTAAAGATATGTTATTGGAGAAAAAGAAATTGGTCTTGTTATGGATGGCTGAAGGCTTTGTACAACAACAATCCCATGGGGAGAAGACATTTAAAATAGAAGCGGATGACTACTTTAATGAATTATTGTGTAGGTCATTCTTTCAACAAGATGGTGGTGATCCAAGAAAGTTTTCATGCATGATCTCATCAATAATTTAGCCAAAGTTGTATCCGGAAAGAGTTGCCTATGGTTTGAAGGCCAAAATATTTCAAAACCTACTCTTCGTCATTTATCATATCCTAGGAAACTATATGATGGCTCTAAAAGGTTTGAGAACTTTTATCATTTAAATTGTCTGAGGACTTTTTTACCACAATCTAAGGACGATGGGATGATAGAGTGTTGTTTGACTCAAAGGGTACCATAGGATTTGTTGCCAAAACTAAAATGTTAAGAGTACTCTCTTTGTTTGGCTATCAAAATGTCAATGAGCTGCCTAATTCAATTGGTAATTTGCAACATTTGCGATATCTAAACCTTTCTTATAGTTCAATTGAAAGATTGCTTGATGCAGTCTATACACTTTACAATTTGCAGACATTGCTTTTATCAAATTGTAAGTGTTTTAAAGAATTGTCGGGAAAGATAAAAAGGCTTATTAATCTACGTCACCTAGACATTAGTGGCACCGCTTTAAAGGAGATGCCTAGACAAATTACAAAACTAGAAAATCTTTCAAGTTTAAGTAACTTTATGGTGGGCAAACAACCGAATGGATTGGGAATTAAAGAGTTCAAAAAGCTCCCTTGTCTACAAGGTAAACTTTCCCTTTCAAAACTAGAAAATGTTGTTGATTCAATGGATGCTTTGGAGGCAAACTTGAAGAGGAGAGATAGAGTTGAGGAGTTAGTGTTGGAATGGGATTGTGATGCTCAAGATTCAAAAATTGTGAAAAATGTACTCAACGTGCTACAACCTTCAACCAATTTACAACGATTGACCATCAACCACTATGGTGGCACAATCTTTCCAGATTGGGTCGGAGATTCTTCATTCAATAATATTACATATTTATCAGTAAGTGATTGCAAGTATTGCTTTTCGCTCCCATCATTTGGACAATTACCTTCTCTCAAAGAGCTTCTTATTAAAAGAATAGAATTAGTACAGATAGTTGGATGTGAGTTCTATTGCAGCAACACAAAGCGCTCTTCATTTCAACCATTTCCATCCTTGGAAATTCTAGAATTTAACGATATGCCTGTTTGGGAGGAATGGGTATTGTTTGATGGAAAAGGTGCCGAATTTCCTTTTCCTCATCTCAAACATTTGAGTTTATAAGATTGTCCTATGTTGAGAGAAGACATGCCTAGTAACCTTCCATCATTGACAAAGGTTTCTATTTCAAATTGCAAACGGCTGGAGGCAAAATCAACACCTTTGTGTTGGATTGAATCTATTGAAGAATTAGAAATAAAGCAAGGGGAGCAAGGGTTATTGGGAGCTCTTGATTGTTATTCTTTGGATTCTTTAAAATATATAAAAATTAGGCATTGTGATTGCTTGTGGTCTTTGCCAAGAATGACAATGGGTAGCCATTTTCTTTTAGAGTTGTCTCTCTATGATATCCCATCAATCATGTCCTTTCCAATTGAAGGTTTGCCTACTTCTTTGGAACGTCTTGTATTTGAAAATTGTGAGAAATTAGAGTTTGTACCTCAAGAATCTTTACAAAATTGCACATCACTTGAAGCCTTGACAATTCTGAACAGTTGTCATTCCTTGGCATCCTTTCCATTAGGTTGTTTTCCTAAGCTTGAAAGGCTTCACATTAGCGGTTGTCATAATTTGAAGACCTTTACATGTGTTGGGGGATCTGCTCTTCCCTTACAAGCTTTTCGGATTCGTAGTTGCGAAAAATTTAGATCAATGTCAGAAGTACACATTGATTCCCTTGCCAGCCTTCAATATTTTTATCTAAGAAAGCTTCCAAATTTGGAATCATTGCCTCAATGTGGTTTGCCTTCTAATTTACGATATTTGGAAATTAACAGCTGTGAGGGACTATCTTGTATACCAATTAAAGATTGGGGTTTTCAACGGCTGACTTCTCTCTCAACGTTGTGGGTTGGAGGTGATAGGAGTGAAACTATACTCCATGATTTACTAAACAATCAATTATTGCCCAGCTCTCTTGTGCGTTTTTGCATATAGGATTTCTCTAGTCTTAAACAGTTAGATTGAAAATGGCTTCAGCACCTTACTTCTCTCGAAAATCTCTTCATTTGGAATTGTTCAAACTTTGAATCCTTGCCAGAAGATGCACTGCCACCCTCTCTTCTTGAGTTAGAAATCCGCAGTTGTCCTAAATTAGAAGAAATATATAATTTTGATGGAGGAAAACACTTGTCTGACATCTCTCATATTTCAACCATAATAATTAATGATGAAGTACTATGATCCTTGAGATGGTACTGCGACGTAGTGTCAAATGGTAAGTTCTCAAATTCCAAAACAATCAACATTTTCAATATTGTTTATTTTCCTGCAGATACTTTTTTCGTTTTTTTTTTTAACATTTCCACAACACAAATAAAAATTTTGGTCTTCCCTTCATGATCATTGCATCAATCAGCATTAATTACAAGAAACATCTTGCCTACATCATATACACCTCGAAGTTGTAAAATTTTCTCAGTCAAGACCATCAATGCTTCTGCAATTTTTATTTTCTCGAAAAACTTATAATCCTTGTGAAACATGTGATTTAATTTAGTACTATACTTTCTGTTTGGTCCTAACACTTTCTCTTCAAAATAATAATAATATCACTGCTATGATAATGTTATACTATTTGTGCACATATGAAGAGTGAGAAAGAATTATCGATGAAGTCATTTTTAGTTTGAAATGATCATTTATTTATCAAGTGACCAGTGATATACGTTCATTATAAAAGTTGAAAAGATTTAGAACCATATTTAATTATTTGGCTTGATATAGTATATTTAATATCCATGCTTGATTAGGTGTATTCATGGATGGAGTGTGATTTGAACCCCATACATACATACATATTTGTAATGAGATATGAGTTTTGATATGTGTTCTGATTATATAAGGTTTAATGTTTTGATAAATCAGGTTAGAGAAGATAAGAAAGCAGTCAAAGAGAGACATATATGATATGCAGGAAAGGCAAATCAAGAAGCTAAGCCAATGCCAAGTAACAGTTCTGCTTCTTCTTCTTTTTTCCTTTTTAATTGTTCGGGATTTTTTGATAAAAATATGTGGGAAAAAAAACATTTCAATGGATCTGATTCTCTGTTTTTATATTATTAGGTTAGAAAATATGAAACGAGCTTAGACGAATTGCTCACTTTCAGAACCAGGAGCTGGTAAGAAACTAGTTAATCATCTCTTCATACTCTTGAAATTCTTAACTAACTAATTAATTAATTAATTAATTAATTATATATATATATAGACACACACACACACAAGCACACAACACACTTTATGATGAGTTCACTTTTGAGATTTATTTTGGTAAAGGATGATCTTGGTCTGGTTGGGGTTTAATGTATTTTAAAACAATGTATACTAATTCTGAGGTTTTTAACTTAATAAAATCATTGTATGAAAATTCAAGTAAACAAAAATTTCTTAGTTTTATATATATTCACACGTTATTTATAAAAGCCAAATCTAAAGTTTGACTGAATGTTTTTCTTTTAATTGGATATTGTCCTTAACTTTTTAATGATTTACTCCAAAATGTCATTAAGTAGAATATTATAGGCTTTCAATATGCAAAGCAGTGGCCAAGTATCTGCTGAAAATGTCACATGTCGGGTAATACTTATTGTTAAAAGGAAGTAAACCACTTTTTAAATTTCTGTGATTGAAAGCTTCCTAGAGTTATCAAATCTAATATGATATTCTGGTTTGATAATTCATGTCAAAATAGATGAGGATAATCTGTAGAATTGCTACGTTTTAAACAAACAGAGTCATATGAGAAGCAATGAAGGCAGGCAAAAAAACTAATTTAACTGTAATTACTTTATTTCCTTATTTACGAAACATCAATGCCAACAATTAAATGAACATAAAGATGAGGTTTTTAGCTATATATATATATATATATATATAAAACTTCCACTTTAGCTAAAAAATCTAATATGTGGAACCAGCATTCCATTGATGTTCATTTTATGTGTAGTTGTGCAGAAACATGATTTTTAGTGTGTTGCTTCCTTCACAATTGTCATGAGGCAAAATTGAATTTCCTCATTAATTGCTATCTTACCTCAACAATAAGCACAGCAAAGGCACGGTATCTAGATTTAGTATTAGATACTTAGCTCAGTTTACGGAGATTAGTGTCTTGATTAACACTCTTTTAAATTACCTGGATATTCCTCTGCATCGATTAATTCGGCGCTTGCAATTCTTATATGCTCATTTTTAGTATATTAAGACGATGTCTTAAAATGAGTATGACATTGTTTTTCTTATAAATCAAGTCAAAAAATAGATATGTGGTGTTACACATAGAGATAATTAAGAGATGTTAAGAAACTAACGAAAACTCTATATGTTCATATATATAGTTTTGTAATTTGCAATTAACTGAGAATGTTTTTAATGTATACCGCTTTAAATATATTGTTTGCAGACTTTCATTGATATAACTTTGTTCTTGAAGATTCTATGACATACACACCTTCCAGGTATTTCAAGGTAAATGAGAAAATTAATTTGGTCTCCATGAGTTTAATTTACTATAATTCTAATATGTTAAGAATCCAGCCTATGACTTTTAGACAATATTTGGTTATTAGTTTTGATGATAACAGGTAATATGAAAATTATTTCAAATGAGAATTGATATTTTTGGAAGCTGAATCTGATTATTTGTCTTTATTGCAAAATCAGGGAACAACGAATAATTGACAATGGTCACGGAGGAAATTTGTTGTTGCGACCAAGAAAAGAAGGAAAGCTAACCATGACAAAATACAAAAAAGAAAAATGAAGTTGATGAATGATTTAGAAAGAGATGAAGGATTGAATTTGAAGATGTAATCAGATTATTATTTATCTAAGCTTAATTGTGTACTTCCTATATATCATTGTTCGAATTTGAGTATTTGGGTGCTTAGAATGTTTTTGCTACCTACTTTTCCAAGAGCAATTTCTAGTGAACTATTTTTTACATTCGTTTTATTAGTTTTTGGGTGAGTTTGGCAAAACCATGTATGACAATTTTAGGTGAGTTTTGTAAAAACTTTTGTTAGAGTTGTGAGTGAGCTCGATGTGTAATTTATAGGGATTGTAATTGGATTTTTATAGTGAAAAAATCTCTTGAATATTTTTCAAGAGGACTGGACATAGGTCAAGAGACCGAACTAGGATAATTCTTGTGTCATATGATTTTCTCACATTCTCTGTCATTTATAAACTAACTATATTTATCGACACATTTCATTTTTTACATACATAAACACTGTCATGATGCTTTAAAATTAATATAATTAAATCACTATTAGAGCTGCTGTTATTTTAACCAATAATTTTTATTGGCTTGCAAACTTAACAATCATAATTAAGGAAGACAAAATTCATTCAAACTTAGTAATTTCCTCTCAATTATCAGCTTCATATTCTCATATATTCTATTAGCATTGATGTGATTTATTTTATTCAACTTATTTTGAGAATTGATATGTGAATATCTTGTGTGCACATTAAAGAGATTTCTTTCTTAGGGTCTAAAACTTAATCGGTTAACAAAATTCTTGAATAGCATGCCTAGACTTTCAATTCTTTTCTTGGCTCATTGAACATGGCTAATGTCCTTTTTCTCCAACATAATTATCTTTCTGTTTGTTGTAAGTGAATTTTAATTTTATTTGTGTGCGATAAATTATTTATAATTACTTTTAAACATGTGGTATCAAGCTCAACCCCAAACTCATTATTTATACGTAATGAAAAATGTAGCAATATTAGACTTGCATAATTACCTAAATTATAGATGATTTGCAAATCAAAGCATAATTTGAGATTCACCTCGAAGCATTTTTTTAAGGCTTTATGTAACCTCTAAATTTAGAAGAATGATTGTTAGGTTCCAAAATTACTTGATTTTATTTTCATCTTTCTCTTACTTTATCATAACTCACAGGATCAAGACCAATTGAGGAATATTCAATCAACTATATATGACAACATATTGTATCCGGCCCAAAATTTGAATGCAGTTAGAGAACCAAGCCTAATCAAAGTGACCCAATCACATTTTTCAATGTTTTTTAAAAACATTTTATTTTTCTATAGACCTGAAACTTCATGGGTTTGCCCACAAAAATCATGGATTCTAAAATTCCCTAAAACAAACATATTTTGTTGAACATAAACTCCAAGGTAAATTATTACACATTGCATTATTGTTACCTTAAGAAGTACAAGCCCAGTCAAAAGAAGGCCGGCAACTGTTTCCTACGATTGTGCATTACAATATTTTATTCTATTCCTTTTTTTCATTTCCAAATAAATCATTTTTTCACTAGACATGTGAATATTATTTATACGAAGAAGGCATGCGATTCATCAAAATATACTGCTACTATAGTGATTATTGTCTAAATAATTTACAATTATAGTTAGCATGTTTAATCTTTTTATCTCCATGAAAAATAAATCATACATTGGTTTCACTTGTTATGTACATTTTTCTTAGTACGCAGTTTGTTATAGGGAAAATCACTCTCAAATCCCACACAAGTCATCTAAATATGGAAAAAATTTATGAAATATCACAATTATTCTAATCTCTTAGATTTTTTTTACCCAAGTTGTCAATTATATAGTGTTAAATATTAGTTAGTTATTACTGCTTAATTGTCAACTGAATAACTCACGACAATCATCTATCATGTTTGACAACTTTAATATAGGAAATTGACGACTTGAGTAAAGGAAATAAAATTTCAAAGTAATTTTATAATTTGACGGATTTTTCTCTATTTAGATTGTATAAAATGAGAGTATGATTCTCCAGTTGCTATACATCCAATCAATCTTTGCAGAGATGATAAATAAAAGAAAATATCGATGACGTTATTTTAAGCTAGAAAATATCAATGGATCTAATACTTTGCATTGTTAGTTATATGTCAGTCATAGAGAATAAGAAAAAAGCAAGTGTTTAGGTTCAAATTGACTTATATCGGATGTCTTGCTTCTTCTTCTATTTGCAGGTTTTTAAAAGCTTTGTGGCAGAATTGAAACTCTAAAACCCGAAAATATATATATATATATATATATATATGCTTTGAAGATCAACAAGACAAAGTTTGTTCCAATTAATCCTCTGCTTCACAGTCTCTGATTTTCTATTATCAAAGTGAACCACTATGTGTCTTCATCTCTGTTTCAAGGTAATTTAACATAATCATTATATATAACTTCAATTCAAGAGAAATATGTTATTTTCATATTCAAAAATTACTTCTACTTTTGGAATTTTATTTTTAGTTTTTTGTCTTTTCAGTGCAGAATAGAACGTTTTGGCTTTCAATAAGCAGAGCAATGGCCACAAGTTTCTTAAAATTGTCACATATCAGGTAATGCTTTCGCTAAGTTAAAACTAACCACTTTTTAAATATTATGATTGAAGAGTTTTCAAGTGCTGTTGCAATTAATCTGATAATGTGATTTATTTTAATTAACCACGTCAAGATAAGAGATCATGGATACTTGAAGTCCTCTGTTTTAATTATACTAACAAGAATATCTTGTCTTCATATATTCTCATGTCAAAAGTCAGAAAGAAGACAAAGTTAGTTCAAAGTCAGTGAAGTAGATCATTCCTATTCTAAAGAGACTTCTCAAATTTTGTCACTAGCTGCTGTGATCTATTATTTTATTAAATTCTTCTAATATTTGATCTATGAGAGAAGCTCTTGTGGTACGTGTGCCTAAACATTTTCTCTTGTGAGACTTCTTTCTAAGGATTTTTAGTCCGAATAAACTTGATTGATTTAATTAAGCTCTCGTGTGCCTAAACTAATATGATTAATTAAAATAAACAAAGAGATTTAAATAACATGTTTCCTTTCATCACACATACATGCTTATTATAAATAGAGTACTTGGCTAGTCATAGATTGTTAATTAGTCATAGATTTGTACTTGGAGGCCAAGGCTCTTTCTTCTATAAATAGAGTACTTGGCTAGTCATGTAATGCAATAAATTAGTAAGTGAATAAAAGAGAAAGATGCCACGAGGGCTTGGGTAAAAGCAGAAGAGAGGGAAGGATAAGGAAAGAATGGAATAAGAGTGGTGTGAAAAATGAAAGAGAGAGAGTGAAAAAATTAGTAGTTTAGAGTTGTATTTTGAGTTTGTAATAATAAAATTTTATTTTTCATTCAAGTCCTACTTCTCATTTTCTTCAAATGTTTTAATTCTTTCCTCCTCATAGATTTAACATCTTAATTTTAATTAATATTTTTAGAGGGTTCTTAAATATCATTTGTCAAGATTTTTTTTTATTTGCAAACGACACTTAAAAAGCTCATGGATTATTGATTAATGAGGTCTGAGTTTTAGTTCAGCACACCATGAAAAGGCTTACGATCTCTTCTCTTTTTGTATTGAGTTTTAGTAGCCTGTCATTTTTGTAATGACCTAAAATTTTAAATTAAATTTTTTTCAATTGATGTTTTTATTTAAATTAGTTTTATAAAAAGTGAAGAGTGGTGATTTAATGAAATTTACTTTAGTAACTTTTTGCAAGTCTAGAGTTTGATTTTCATTGAGTAAAAGTTTAATTTTATTTTGTTTTAAATTATAGAAAATTCTGGGCTCATTCTTGTAACTTTTCCTTGTGTCATATCTTATAGTTTTCCCAATTTTCCTTTTTGTTCAGAATTCATATTCTTCCTACGTGAAACAGATCATTTCGTTTTTCCTCAATTTCTCTCCTTTCTTCACCGACATGGGCTCCTCTGATTCTTTACTGTCAGTTTGCATTTCTGCTCTTCACGATCGACTTGCTTCCTAGATCTTTGCCATCGGCTTCCTCTGTTCACGTCGCTATTTCGCAGCTGGAAGTAGGAGATCGCTGGGTTCGCTCCCTTGTTTGGTCATTCTTTGCCTCTTCTCTGCTTCGTGGCTGACAGTGATGCGTGGTGCGTCATCTTGAACTTCTCTTCCTCCTCAGTTATGGGCGTGAGGTAACCTCAATTCCTCTTCCTCCTATGACTGATAGGTGCTGTCTCTTCTTTGATTTTTGCTGCTGTGAGTTAGTGTAAGAGGTTCCTTTCTTCTTCCGCTGTTCAGCGCAACTAATTCGTCCTTCCTCCTTTCCTATTCTACCTAATCGATTTAAGGTGTGGAGCTTCAAATCCCCTACCTCTTTGCTGTTTTGTCCGTGTGATATTTGGCTTAGCTGTGATGTTTCTTTTATTTTTGCTGCTGCTGTGCGTGATAGAAGGGAATACATGAGTTTAACCAAGCTGAACTTGAATTTAAGAGCATGATTATCGGTAGATAACTTCTCTTATGTAGATTACTGTAGAAGAAGAATTAGATTTAATTTTATTTGATCTCAATTGGCTTGTGTTGAAAGGGAAAAAAATTAGGAAGCTTAGAAATTTAGGTATTAATAAAGTTTTTAAGGAAATGAGGAAGCTTGTATTAAAGTTGGATATGAAGGCATGTAAGGTGTTTGACAAAATGTTTAATAGAAGGAACTTTGCTTGATTTTGTAGTTTATGAAATTTCATTAATTCTTATAAGAAGTATGTTTGGTTTAGATACTATTTAATTGTGAATTAACATGAGTATTATCTAGAAATTTAATAATTATGGAGTTAGTGTGTAATTAGTGGATTTCTTGGGAGTTGTATGGTTGTTGATTAATGGTTGAGCCAGAGATTTGAATGTTAAAAAGCTCAATTGAATGGTTGAAATGATGACACTAAGCATTTGACAAAAGGCTAAAGAGAAAATTGCATTTTAATTGAGTATTTAGCTATTGTTATTATATGTGTAAATTTTGGTTCTAAGGCTTTAAATTTATTATAGTTAAATGTTTGTTATGTTAGTTTGAAATAAAGTTTTATTGAACTTTTTGAAAGTCTATTAAGACCCTATTATATTTCATATGGTGTCTAGAGAAAGAGGATCTTGATAATAGGGATAATGAGTAAGTTATAAATTTTGGGGAGTATTTCAGGTAAGTGAATAGCATCCCAACTGATTTTCTAATAAAATTTTCTTTACTAAAATATTACATTTTTATGCAAATCATTTT